TGCTTCGAGTCCCGATGTAAGTGCGAATGTGACCTAGGCGAGGTCGAAACTGCAGTCTATCCTGAATATAAATAGCTTTTGGGAAAGAAGGGCTAAGTTAAATTTAATAGAAACGTAAGGTCTATTCATTTCATTGTCGAATAATTCAACTACCAATTCCTTTACCAGCTTAAACGAAATAGGGTGAATACACCTCATAATATTCCCTGTGCCTCGTGTTGTTTGCTTGATCAAATCGATTAACTAGATGGCCTTGGAGGATCTGTTATTATCCTAAGCTTTTTTAATGCTAACTAAGATGCTCCTAATGTTATGACATGGTCTCTGATTTGTATGTAGTATACGTTTGGATGATTATAATGGATAATTGGGGAGGTTTAAGAAGATTATCAAAAATCATAAAAGGTGTTCAAACTTTTTATCCAAAAAGTGTCAGCTGCTGTTGGTTTCGACCCCTTCTCTTAAATACATTTTTTCTTTTTGACTTTATAATTGGATGAAGAACTATAATTTTACTATTGATTGTATCTATAGGTTTATGAGCCAAAATAAAATATGCAACCAAAAGTATGCCCAACTTTTCACAATGGCACTCATCTCATATTGTCAGCCTCACGCAGTGGGCATAGAAATTACAATAAAATCCTATCTACTTCAATAACTTATCTTGTTATCGGAGTTTTTCCATGGGTTGATTAGCTTGAACTTGTTCAAACACACTAACCCTTTGGAGAAGTGGTTTGGCCTCGTTTTCGCAGTTTGGTCACGTTAGTGAGACCGAGGTGAACACACCTTGTCCGTAATCCTCTGCCCTAGCAGGTGTGGTGATTTTCTGCGTCGTAATGTGGACTTGATACATTAATAGACGTTTCGCCGGCATCGTCAATAAGCCTTGCCATTCTTAGTACCAAACTTCAAAGAGAAAAGTAAATTTCATCCCTTGATCAACTTTCTGCTGAACATTTGTGATATCTATTATTATGGTAGATTCACCCATCCCATATAATCGTATTTGTTCCTTTCCTATCACAACTCCAAACTTTTTTGTTTTGACCCACTCCAAAGATGGGCTCTTTAAGCCGATTTAGTGAGACCTATTCGCGCTCCCCATTGGTTTCCTCATCTCTCTCCCATTGTCCTGGAATGTTGATACAATTTGGCCCTTTCATTCTACAGTCTACTTATCCAGGTCCTATCACAGTCTCCCTTGTGCTCGGGAATATCTGCCTCCTATCTCTCCGGTTCCGTGCTTCGACTATGTCTGTTCTACTCGAGACATCTCCTTTGTTCTACTTCGAGCGCTGGATATATCATGTATATTATAGCCTTATCTCAGTTTGACTTGTCCATTGGGTTAATGTTATGGTCAAGCCTTTATTTCAAGGACTACTTCTATAAGTGAGTTCGTGTACTATGAATTAATTGTCCCTTGTCTCCGTGAAATCTTTCCCCCGCGCAAGCTTAAGCATGACTCGGAGTTGTCTCTAATTTTTCCTGTTTCCCGTCTCCTTTCATTAGATTTCTTTCATCATGCATATAGAAAACCTCTACTTATATTTTCACCATATGCAGCCAGTCTTTCTGTTGCCTTCCAGTCGATTTAGTGTTTTGTTCATGCAATCTGTTGTGCTATTTCAGACCTTTCCGTATCCATATTTCTGCAGATTCTTTGCTGTTCCTTGATTCTTAGGCCGATTTTTCTTCCACTTTCCAATATTTCTGCTCATAGTTGATGCATGTTCTGCGATTAACTTCCAAGCGATCTAATATGCTCACTTTCTTTTGTTGCATTGGCAAGCCAAAGGAGTGTTGTTTTCTTCTTCATTATCATCCAGATATTCCATTTTCTTAATATTGGTCGTTTTTTAACTCAGGTTATAGGAGAAGGGCAGGAATATCCACTTTTGATCCTCTTTTCTATTCCTTATTTTTTATGATATCCATATTGCCATCTGCTTTCCATGACCCCTATATTTCTTTGTGTTATTTTTCTAGGGTACCCGTTACTGAGGCAAATTCTAGTCAGTTTGTTTAAATCTTCTCGCCATAACACCATTTCCGTTAATTTCAGGCTTCTGACGATCAAACAGCTCATTATTTCGGTCCATAGTATTTGTAGTGAGACTGAAAATTGA